TTGTTTATTGACAATTGAGTCTCCACTTTTGTTGTTGTAGAGCTTGAAAGCCTTGTTTATGTCCTCTCTCCTATATTAACACTTTTCACACTTTAAGGTTTTGCAAATCTTTGTTGCCACTTGCATCCCTTAGACTGGGGACGTATAGGAGATTCTGCCCTATTCACTAGTTCCATAGTTTGAACTCTTAAAGTGTATATGTTCGAAATGTCCTGATGTTCAAAAGTGAACATATGTTTCTCAAACCCTAAAAGATACCACGTTCTTCCACTATCACTCAACTTCCCTCACTGTCAAAGGATATGGCCGTCTCGTGTGTGCTTGAGTCATTACCTACTCACACTAGTCTATCCCACGATGCGCTTGTCCAACTACCTTGCACGCTACGTTAACGGGCTCGACACCCCTGTGTTTTTTTTTTTCGTTTTTTTTTTTTTGCAATTTATGGTGGGGAGCTGCTCCTTTGGAAACACCAGTTCACACGAGCCTAAGTTACGAAGCTACTGCCAAGGCGCATGAACCTCCAATTGGGATTTCTCATGTTGACCTTTTGCCTGCAGTATTGGCCCAAACCCAAATCGAAATGCTTTAACCATGTATACCGACAAGAACTCAAACTAGGCTCATGTGAACTGATGGCTTACAACCAATTTCCTCGAACGCGACCATGCCCACACCTCATCTTTTGGGGCTAGATAATTGAGGTCAGCAAAGCTGTAAGCAGCAACCAAAACAAAAAATAGTGCTCACGTGTCGGACCTTTTTCATTTGTCATGCAACTCAAATCCACATCCCTGTTTTATTTTTTGGCACGCAGCTGAAATTCGCTTCGGGAAAAGGAGACCCAAAATAGAGTAACAACACACCTAAAGGGGGAACATTGATTGCCATTGAAGAAGGGAATTAAACCACCAGTATGTTTTCCAACCATTTTCCTTAGACGTGTTGTGCACGCGGTCGCATTAGATGGGATGTACTGGGGTGCCATTTCGCTGGAAATCTATCCAGGCAAAATGGGTCGTATGCCAGAGACATTTTGCTTGTCTGCCCTGGCTGGGGTGCCATTCGCTAGAAATCCATCCAAGCAAAATAGGTCGCCTCCCAAGGCCTTTTTGCCTGGTTGGGGTGCCACTTCGCTGAAAATCCATCCAGGCAAAAGGGGTCCCATGCCAGGTCTGTTTTTGGCTGGATGGATTTCTAGCGAAATGACGCACTGGTACATCCCGCCCTACAACAGATGCATACATGCACGGCACGTGTTAGAAAAATGGCTGGGAAATGTACTATGTGGTTGCCCTTCGTCTACACAATTATGATCAACACCTACCAGAACTGACATCCGGCCGCCCCCTATCACTCTCTCATTCACCCTGTCGAGTAATCTTAGATCTTGCCATACCCTAACCTCGTGGCAGAACCCAACAAGTCCAGAACCATTATCCCCTCCCACCCACTTGCCCTTCGCCCACTTCTCATGTTTCAATTTAGGTACTTATGGTTTAGGGTTCTGTTTAGAAATCTAGGCGTGTCCCCCGTCCGATTGAGGTGAACGAGTGTGATATATATCATTGAAAGTCTGTGTAAGCAGAAAATAGAAAACAAAGCTCAATTACTTAGGCATGCAAACGCCATTCAGGAGGTCACGGGCTTACTCCCCATTGACCACTTGCGGCACTCTTTGTGCCAATTGAGATAGTTGGTTTGCTTCCCTTGTTTGGTATTGGTAGGGTTTTTTACCATCATGGGTGTGCGTGTGTGTGTTTGTGAGTTGTGTGTGGTGTGCACGAGAGTGCTGGCCATAGGCACTGCTGTTACTGAATGGGGGCGGAGGAAGTAGATGGGAGGCGCAGCTACTAGCAAAATGCTCGGTCCTTGCATTAGCCTCCTCTCCCGCCCCCCCCTGGACGGCCCCACTCTAGAAAAAAAAAAAGAAAAAAAAGGGCCCAGTGCCCAAGGCTGATAATTTCCATGAGAAGATGGAGGCCGTTTTCAGGCTCGGCATCAATAGCTGGGCCAAGTACTGGTGGTTTCATTGTGAGAGGTAGGTATGCTGCAGGGGTTCCCTGCATAGGCTAGGTAGGTAGGTAGTCAAATGTGGAATTGCAGGGGTCCCCTGGATAGGCTTGGCAGAAGTGGTAGGTAGGTAGTGAAAGGTGGAATTGAGAGAAGAATGTTGCTTAGTTTTTTCAAAAGAACAACGGCGTTCCCAGGGCCCCTTTGTGTTTAAAANAAAAAAAAAGGAAAAAAGGAAAACAGAAAAAAGAAGGGAAAATTGCATCTGTACCCCACCTAAAGATGGGAATACCCGCTATGCCCAGTCCCAGCGCCCGCTTGCACCTATACCCGGAACTCTGCCGGTGGAAATTATTTGCATGCCCAGGACTGAGGTGGAACCAGGTTGGTTCCGCAAAATTGCAGTTAACCAACTACCGGAATGCACAAATTATGGACATACCCAGGACTGAGGTGGACTGGCCAAATTATTCATATACCCTACTACCGGACGGCTCCAATTATACTCGTACCCAGCAGCCGCTGCCCCACAACGTCCACATGGTTGTGGTCCACGTGGTGGGCATGAGCAGAATTTTGCGGTCTTCCATCCAGCCCCACCCCTGGCTGTTGGTACACCCGCAAATTTGCCAGCCCGTTCCTGGGCATGGGCATAGTTTCTTTGTCTGGAACTGAGGGCCTGCGGGATTGGGTATGCCTACAATTTCGCACAGGGGCACAGGGGGAAAAGTCGGGTCCTATGCGAAGTTGAACGGGGTAGTAGGTCCCACTTGCACGAATTAAGCGATACTGACCGCAGATAACAGAGATCAACGGCCAGATTCTCGCAATCCGTGCAAGTGGGACCTTGCCCCGGGTATAGGTAGAAGTTGGGCGCTGGGACTGGGTATAGCGCGTATTCCCATCTTTAAGTGGGGTACAAATGCAATTTTCCCAAAAAGAAAACAAAGTCCTAGTGGGGCTCAATGGTGTCCCACTACCGGTACCGTCGTTCCCTGGGTGTCTACCGGGCCCATCTGCTGGGCCCTCACGGCACCAGCAGCACGTAAGGGGACAAAGGGGGCCGCCCGGCCGGTGGATTTTTTTTTTTTTTTTTTTTTTTTTTTAAATCACCTTTGTCCTTCTAAGACGGAAGGGTGTACGAGGACGAAGTATTTGCCAGTGCAATTAACCGATTGGCCTCGCTCCACTCGTCACCACCAAGTATGCAAAATGTGAATGAATCTTCTGCTAGAGCATGAGAAGATACACCCCCATATATATTTTTTTGTTTTTGAAAGTAACCTATATTCTTCTCTCAATCTTCGCTTGCATATATTCTATCTCATCCTCTCGCTACTCTATGTATGGTACGGGGGAACACCAACCAAACCTGGAACTCTCCCCAGCCCACGGGGTAGGTTTGCACCACAGCGGTGGTGCGAGAGCAATGCCTCGCTCCACTCCTCACCAAGTATGCAAAATGTGAATGAATCTTCTGCTAGAACATGAGAAGATACACCGCCATATTTTTTGCCTTTTGTGCATGTGGTGGGTGACTAGTGGAGCGAGGCGCAAAGACACACACCAAAATAGAGTGTACTGTACCGATCACAACGCCGAATTTTTTTATTTTATTTTTTATTATAAAAGGTTTTGTTTCAAAACAGCGTCGGAGGAGGCCGGGGACCTCACAAATCAACCCGGAGTTATCCCGGCAGCGTCAGCCGGCTTAGCTTAGAGAAGAGTATTAGTCGACTCAATTCTCTCACTACAGTCTTCCTACAAAGTTTCCTCTTTTATCAACTGTATAACGTTCTGGAAGGTGTTCCACATGACATGCCTAGTATCGTGGTGTCCTACCTCTGAACCCCTACTCTAGCCTAGATTCTATACCTCTCTCGACTCTTCCTACTCTTCACTATCTACACCTATACACAGGCCTATATCGCCCGGACCGAACCCGGGCTAAAACGACCGGGTGGATTAAATCCTCCTACTTCTGGACACTATCCTTGAAGTGGTCTCACCTGCCTAAGTTTTTTCTGGCTTCTTGATTGTCCTCTTTCTCCTTCGCTTTCGTCCCGTTTCGATGTTGATTCATTTTCCATCCTCAAATTTTGTATTAAACTATTTTTTCTCTCAAATAGGGCCTCGCTGCACTACTCTTGAAATGCACAAAAGACCAAAATCATGTCACTGTATCTTTCCATGTTCTAGCGGAAGATTCACTCTCGTTTTGCACCTTTCGAGAGTAGTGCAGCGAGGCCCCTACCGGTAGCCTCTCACTCTGCTATTCCATGTCACCGTGTTGATTGCGTTCGTTCATAGTTATAGTTATGTTGTCGTGATGTGTAATCAGAGTATGACGGCGGCTCGATCCCTCGCCGGGGGATCAGCAGCAAGTGCTGTTTTTTGCAACGCGCCTGCCCTTCTGTATTTCCATCCAGAGCATCAGGAGCCTACGGGTCGAGATGCAGAAGGAGATCTTCGTTGCCTGGGCTTGATTGGTGTTCCCATGTCGCGCCAGCCAGCAATTGAAAGTAACCGAAGAGAGATCAATCAAGCTTGAAGCGCTTCCGGTGAGTGGATGACGTGGCCAAGCTGTTGAGGAAAGCGTCTCAATCAGAAGAGTATGACGGCGGCTGGATCCCTCGCCGGGGGATCAGCAGCAAGTGCTCTTTTTCGCAACGTGCCTGCCCTTCGGTCCTTCCGTCCAGAGCATCACGAGCCTACGGGTCGAGATGAGATCATCTTTCCCTGGGCTTGATTATTGTACCGATCTCGCGCCGGGCAGCAATTATCAGTAAGAGAAGAGAGATCAATCAATCTTGGAGTGCTTCTGGTGAGTGGATGACGTGGCCAAGCTGTTGAGGCAGCCACGTGGAGAGAGCCTGACGCAGGCGATCGAGAGATTAGACGGCGGCCGTTTGCCGACGACGTGGCGACCGCCCGATCGAATCGATCATCGTGTGGCCGTGAGGGTGGCGCCTTGCGGCGGCCCGGGGGCGGGCCGACCAGGAGCGGGGGCGCAGTAGGGGGGGGAGAAGAACCGCAGAGTGTAGGGAAGATGGCGGTTGCTGATGCGGAAGAGGTGGACATGAGCGGGAGAGGGCAGCATGCGGAAGCAGCCGATCCAACATTGTCGCGAGGAACAGAGGCGCCACTGCCTCCGCGTCGATTCCGCGGCCGGGCGGCTTTCGTTGGTAGTAGCGAAGCAAGCGGGGGCCAAGGGCAGGGGCAGGGGGAAAAGACGTCGGCGCAGCTTGCCCTGTCCTCCGAACGAAGCGATTCCCGCCGTTCGATCAATCGGATCGTGCGCCAGCAAGTGCCGTCCGAGATCCTCGAGAATCCGTTGCTGAAGGCGGCTATGGCCGTTCTGCCAGGCAATTACAACCTCGAGATTCCGAAGACGATATGGCGGATCAAGCAAGCGGGGGCGCGGCGCATAGCGCTGCAGTTCCCCGAGGGTCTGTTAATGTACGCGTGCACCATCGCCGATATCCTGGAGAAATTCGCTCATGCGCAGTGTATCGTGATGGGTGACGTGGCGTACGGCGCGTGCTGCGTGGACGATTTCAGTGCGGCGGCGCTCGGCGCGGAGTTCTTGGTTCATTACGGCCACAGCTGTCTGGTCCCCGTGGACGTGACCTCGATCCCGGCTATGTACGTGTTTGTGGAGATCGGGATCGACGTCTCACACCTGGTGGAGACGATCCGGCTCAACTTCCCGCCTGCCACGAAGCTCATTTTGGCGGGAACCATCCAATTCGTCTCCGCCATCCAGGCGGCGAAATCCGCCCTCAAGGGTGATTATCCCGACATCGTAGTCCCACAGTCAAAGCCATTATCGCCGGGCGAAGTGCTGGGCTGCACAGCACCTAAGCTCGACCACTCAGCAGCAGAGTCCATCGTGTTTGTTGCTGACGGTCGTTTCCATCTCGAGGCCATCATGATTGCCAATCCGACCCTTCCGGCGTACCGATACGATCCTTACTCAAAGGTGCTGACGGTGGAAGAGTACGACCACGTGGGAATGAGAGATGTGAGAAGACGAGCAATCGAGAAGGCGGCGTCTGCTCGGAGATGGGGCGTGGTCCTCGGGACACTGGGAAGACAGGGCAATCCAAGGATAATGAGGCATTTCATATCGAGACTGGAGGGGAGAGGGAGGGAGTACATGCTGGTATTGATGTCGGAGCTTAGTCCACAGAAACTGTCGGCATTCAGCTCAACGATTGACGCCTGGGTGCAGATCGCCTGCCCGCGGCTGTCTATCGACTGGGGGGAGGCTTTCGGCGGGGTGCCGTTGCTCAATCCTTACGAAGCGGAAGTTGCACTCGGTTTTGTACCGGGATGGTGGGAGAGAGGGAGAGAAGAGAAGTTGGGCGGGGGGAGAAGGAAGACGGAGACAGGTCCTCTTTGGTGCAAGGAAGAGCAGGAGGGGAAGAAAGGGGAGGAGGAGAAGATGATCGGGTTGGGGTTTTCGAAGGCGAGAGCCGAGGCTGTGGGATGTCAAGGCGGAAGCCAGCGGGGGTCCATGGACGGCAATTGTGAGGTGAGGACAGCTATGGAGTCCGGTGAAATGGCTGCGGGAGGAGGAGAAAGTAGCAGGGGGGAATGTGTAGAAGAAAGATGTGGAACAGAGGAAGCCGTGGCTGGGAGTGCTTGTTGTGCAACGGAGGGGAGGAAAGAGGCCGATGATGACGAAGCGAGTGCAAGTGCGGATGGCGGGAAGACGGCTGCTGATGTCGTGATGATGGGGTCTTATCCCATGGACTATTATGCCAGAGATGGTGGGCCTTGGGGTTCTGCACATACGTTGAGAAGTGGAAATGGGTCTGTGATCAATGCAGGAAGAATAGGGGTGAGGGGCTTTAGTTTCCGAGGGGGAGAGAAGCAGTAGGGGAAGCAGTCAGTAGGGGAAGTAATAGAGAGTCCCTGTACTGCTGGGTTTTTTTTTTTTTTTTTTTTTTTTTCTTTTCTTGGTGGGATCTGGAGAGAACAGGGGAATAAATGTCCTCTGCATGAGGGAGATGGAGGGAAGCAGTAGAATGCTTTTACTGCTGGCTTCTTTTATTTGCTTGTTTTTTTTCTTGGTGGGGATAAGGAGAGAGCAGGGAAAGTGGTGGGGGGGGGAGGGGGAGGGGGAGGAGGGGGAAGGGGGGGAAGAACTGTTCTCTTCGTGAGGGAGAAGAATCGGAGGGGAGTAAATGGCCGATGTGGAATGTGCAAAATTGTCCTACTGAGTAGGAGGCTTATCGTAGCTCCCTGAGCTCACATCTTGT